AATAAATGCTGAAGAAGAATTTGGTCTGTTTGTCAAATTAAACATGAGGTGAATAAAACATTTCCATTAAAGTCGTCCACAGGTCACTGCTGCTTGAACACATTGATAGTTATGAATCAGAGCTTTACTGATCATATCTGGTTATTACATTGATATTAATCTCCAAATGTATTTTGTGTAAAAGAGATAAAACTGATAGATAGAAAAGTTTTCCATATTTCAGCTAAATATCTAAAACTTAGATGATCCTACTGCAAATATATTGAACATTATTGGATGTTAATATACTAGAAAAAAAAAAACAAATCTAATAACTTTACTCACATTTGCTGTTCTGACAATCACAGCTGTAAGAGAGCTCATCCAGGTTGTGAAGAACATCTTGACATTCATCACTCGTTGTTCCCCAGCTCAGGTTAATGGACTGTTGGTGTGTTATAATCTCTACGTGTCTTATTGTAAAATCTGTTGGAATAAAATAACCACCAATGAATCCAGTTCCTGTTGTTTTTCACTCCACACTATGTTAATATAATAACTTTGTTCTTCTTTCCACTGAGATGCAGTAGTTTTTAACCCACCACAGTAAATGTTAAAGTGTACAGGTAGAGTTGTCTTATTTATGTAGACACTGTTGTTCTTGATGTCTCCAGTACAGACGTAGTCAGTGAACGGCTTCATATCAGATGGTTCAACTGTTTTATTGTCGTTTCCTGAAGAGACACAAACATTCAATCATTTCTGGGCTTTTTGTCCTGAGATTAACTCCAAGTAGAACTTTGACCCGTTTAGTGAAAGTAAATAATTAGATCCAGAGAGAGAACATGTTAAAACATTTCCCTAAAAATAATTAATTAATTAATTTATAATGTGTCTTTAGGCAAACATCTGTTTCTACATTATTTTTTGTAATTTATTTTAAATATTTCTGACAGCTTTAGTTTCTGCTCACCTGAACATTTGTACTCAACAGTGAGATTATTACATCTTGAAGGTAACGTTGGTTCAATCTTTGCAGGAAGTTTAGTGGGTTTAGTCTGATTTATGTCCTTTGGATCAATGAAATCTGAAGAACAAAAGTATCAAATAGATATAACCAATGAGACAGAAATAGATTTTATCTTTAATAGGTTATTGTACATACCAACAGGAACATATTGAGGGGCGGTAGATTGGTTGCCTGTGCAGTTTTGTGTAAGATACTCTAAAACAAAATCTGAGCAGATATCCTCATAAGCAGGTTTGAAATGATATGATCCATTGTTGAACTCTGGAGGTGAAGCCTTGACGTATTTTGATGATAAAGAGCTGATGTCCCAACCACTCCGGTAACAGAAGTGGTTGGGATATCCAGCAGGGCAGGAGACTTTTTCAATGTCTGCTTGATCTGAAACACAAAGCAGTTTTGTCCTAGTCATATTTCAGTAAATAATGTAAATTAAGATGTGAGGATATTTTACTTACTCATTCCAGTTGTTCTTGTTGTTGTCGTATTTTTATCTTCAGTTTTGTTACAGATTTTTGTATCATTGACACCAATAAGTGTGACTATTACTTTATAGTCAGTGCACGGCTTCAGAGGTTTGATCTCATGAGTTGAGTTTTTATTGGAGAAAGAAACATTGTCTTTCCTTTCAAACAGACCTTCCTCCTCATCTATGGTGTAGAGACCCTCAGTAAAATCTGTCATCTTTATCAGGAAACCAAACTGGATCGATTTAACGCTGTAAGAACCTGAACAATAACAGTTTCACATTTAATAAAAAAAGAGCTGAACTTTCTAATGTTAAATTATTATCATAACAGATAAAATAAGTTTTCAACACTGACAGATAAACCCTCTTTATTAATTGAAAAAAATGGCGTGTTAAGTTCTACACATTCATAAACTCATACTTACACTTTGGATCTTTGTTGCCTGCAGCTGTTGGGAAACAAGAAATGAACATTAAAAACATTCAAAACTAAATATATTCTTACAACAAAATATACAGTTACCTGGTATCTGCAGTTTCATTCTCAGCAAACCTAAAGTTTGCTTCTAAAGTCTGATTTTAAACAAACTTTTATTAAAGACAGAAATGCAGATTTAAAGTTCCAACCTGTGGTGGCAGCCATGGTTGTGTTTTGTTCAGTGCTTGGAGGTAGGGTGGCTGTCTGAGGAGATGATTGATTGTTTGCTTGATGGGGTGTGGTTGATTGGTTTGAGATGCTTGCAGGTGAGGTAATGGCTGCAGGTTTAAGAGCATGCTGAGGTCACCATCAGACTGAAATAATCCACTGTAACGTGTTTCATCTTACACGGACCATAACCAACAATGAATGGTATCATTGAAAAACTAAAACACTTGTTCTAACACAGCAGAAGAAAGTTAAATACATTACCAGACATGTTGGTTGAAGAGTTTGAATGAATTGTTGAAGTTAAGGTGGTGGATGGAGAGGTGAGTGTAGGAGTGACAGAAGAAGGAGCTTCTGGGGTTCTAGCAGATAAAACTGCTGAGGTGCTTGCAGGTTGGATGGCAACAGGTTCTGCAGAACCTGAGCCAGTGAGTGGAGGTAAGATGGCTAAAAATATAAACATCAACTCAACATCAATGCCAGTGGTTCCTACAGAGAAGAATCCTACATGTAGCAGGAAAAAAACAATCCTCTCCATCCTTGCATGCATGAAAAAATTATAGAAAATAGATAAAAAGGTAGATTTACACTACTCACATACTAGATACTGTCCAAATTAATGTGCTGCTCTAGTATTAAACCTAAAGTCATCATGATACATTTTCAATTAACAGTTCTTTACTAATAATGTGCCAACCTGACATATTGAGGACAAGTTGTAGAAAATAAGCTTCTAATTATCCCAGACTAAATGTTGTGAAAAATCTTCATAGGGAGGACACACAGAATGCAATTATTAAGGCATAGGCAAAAAAATAAATAAATAAAAATGAAACAATTCAGAAAATAAATGTTTCCTTCTTTTTCTTTGTTTGTCAAATTATTCTATAAAAGACTGGTCAATCGGAAATGTTTTCATTTCTGATGCAGAGGAACCTGCTGCTTCTGCA